GGGCATTGATCGTATGCTTTGAACTTACCCTACCAGGTAGGGGACACTTCACTCTGTACCACTGCCCTTATTGGCACGTATTCAATGTGACAGCAGTAGCGGGGCAGAGACCTGTGGGACTAAAGGATGTCTGATAGCAAAGAGGTAGTGGAAATGACGATCCTCGTGGTGTAAACCCAAAGATCACCCAGTACCAACGTTATTCAATATCTTCATAAGTGATCTGGATAACAGGATCAAGTGTAGCCTGATGAAGTCTGCAGATGACACCAAAATGAGTGGGGAAGTAGACGCTCTGGAAGGGAGAGCCACCCTGCAGGAAGGTCTGGATAGGCTGGGAGAGCGGGCTAAGAAGAACCTTATGAACTTCAATACAGACAAGTGTAAGGTCTTGCACCTGGGAAAACATAATCCAGGAGTGCAGCACAGACTGGGATCCACCTGGCTGAAGAGCAGCTCTGTGGAAAGGGACCTGGGGGTCCTGATGGACAACAAGCTCAATAGGAGTGAGCAGCTGTGGCGGCCAAGAAGGCTGATAGGATGCTGGGTTGCATCAAAAAGGGCATCACCAGGAGAGATAAAGAAGTCATTGTCCCACTCTACTCAGCGCTGGTCAGGCCACACCTGGAATACTGTGTACTATTCTGGTCCCTGCTATACAAAAAAGATGTGGACAGGATGGAGGGGGTCCAGAGAAGGGCCGCCAAGATGGTCAAAGGACTGGGAAGCCTTCCATATGAGGACAGAACTGGGTTTGTTCAGCCTTGAGAAAAGGAGGCTTAGAGGGGATCTCATCACCACGTACCAGTGCCTGAGGGGTAGCTACAAAGAAGATGGAGACTCCCTTTTTACAAGGAGTCACATGGAGAGGACAAGGGGGAATGGACACACGTTGCCCTTGGGGAGATTCTGATTGGACACGAGAGGGAAATTTTTCACAATGAGAACAGTCAACCATTGGAATAATCTCCCCAGAGGAGCGGTTGACTCGACCACATTGGACACTTTTTAAGACTCAAGCATGACAGGGTGCTGGGCCATCTTGGCTAGACTGTGCTCTTACCTAGAAAGGTTGGACCAGATGATCCTTGAGGTCCCTTCCAACCTAGGATTCTCTGCTTCAATGATGACTTTCCACTGTTGCTGCAGCCTCCTGTTGGTTGCATCCCGCAGGGCCAGGGCAGTGACGTTGCTGGAATGACACCTCTCTGCGCCAGATGTGGATGTGTTTTGTCACACTGGTGTCGGAGGAGTGACACCGTGACGCCTCCAGGGTGACTAGCCCGTGACTCAGGGCTGTGCTGCAAGCCTGCCTCAGAGGCTCACTCCTCCGAGCAGGACTTGGGCTGAAGGGTGGCTCTTCTCACACCTAGCCCTGCTGAGACCAATGCTGCTGCTCAGAGGAGGGATGGGGGGACGTGTCCACTGCGCTCTGGACAGGCCAGAGCTACGTAGATTCCCCCCCCCCCCCCGGTGATTTCTGCACAGAGTTTAGTAGATATACCTGAGGGCAAACTTGCCCCTTGTATAAGTGACCTCGCTGATCCTAGAGCTGCAGAGTGACTTTTAACTCTTCTGACCTCCATCATCTGAAAACTGTTACCTCGATGTTTTATTAACAGCAGTTTTAAAACATAATAGTTTTATTCTATGTTGTAAAGCACTTTTGCACCAGTTCCCAAAGGGGGTAAATGCTGCACTGTGTTTTTCAGATTGGTTAGGTTAATGCTTTTCATGTTAATGAACACATATTAAGATCTTATTAGACAGTGTGTCCGTCGGCAAAGTTCCTGTTGATCCCACTGGGGAGTTTTATTTGTGTCAAAGAATTGCAGGATCAGGTCATCATTGTATCATTTTAGAAAATGGTTGTGACCTCCACTTAAACGTTAAAATGTTTGTGAAAGCAAGCGAAAACCTGTGAAGAAAAGTGTTCCCAAATTCTAAGATTGTAGTCTGCGACCCATAGCCTGAGTTTGGAGGTCTGAATGCATAAACAGAGGTTACCCCTGCAGAGGTTGGTTTTGAAATAATATGCAATTAGTTTGAGGAATAATAATAAAATTACCTTCTGCTTAAAATCAAGTTAAAAAATTCAAGAAGGACTGGCGAGGTCCTGGATGTGTTGCTAGCAATAGAAACCATCATGGCGTTACAGAAGGTAGACAGTGTTAATCACAGGAGGTGGTTGTCCCACAGAGAGGGAGGTTGGTGGCAGCAGTGATTTATTCCAGAGGGCAGTTTAGTCATTGTACTATTCCTAGACAAGGCTCTGAATTTAAGTGGTACTTAGACTCTTAAGTCATTTTTGAAACCAAATTTAGGTTCTTGAGTCACGTAGATGGTTTTGAAATTACTCCCGTCTTTCTGTCAGCCTTTTCTACATGGCTGATCTTGGAAGACGCAGCACCTACTGGCTGCTGTACAGTTTAAGTAGGAGCTGGGAGCTGGAAGTGTCAAGAGGTTGGTGGATACCTGCCCGCGACTGCAGTATGGAAAAGGGTGATCTGATGTGCCCAGGGTGTTTTTGGAGCTGCTGTGCTTGTGCAGTTGGTCTCTGTGTGCACCTTGAGTCAGAGGCACCTGGAAGGTGTCATCTTTACTGTGCTTGTGCACACATCGAACTTGCAGCCCAGAGATCTTGGGCTTGCTGCTCATAATCCCTCTGGACATGTTCACTGGCCCTTTCTCAGGGGTTTCCCAACATCCTGCAGCCAGGGATCTGGTGAAATACTGTGCGTTGCGGGAGGGAAGACGCAAACGGGAGTGTCATGCTGAACCCAAGTTGTGCGTGTTGGGTAGCTCAGTCTTCCCCGTGACCTGGAGCTAAGCAGGCAGTGAGGCGTTTTAACAGGGCTCCCAAGGCTGGGGCTAACAGCTCTCACTGGGGACGAAGGTCCCTTGGATCCCCGGGGGCTCGGTCACGCGCCGGGGCTAGGGTGGGCAGGCAGATAAGCAGGCGCTGGAGAGAGGAGGTAAGTAGGCTAATGTGGGAGAGTCTGTCTCTTCTGAATTAATCCAGGTCGCACGAAGAAGTGTATTGGTTTTTCATATCAAGGGTGTCAGATATAGATTTGTGATCCTGATACTGCGTAATCAATTCTCTCCCCTCTGCTGGGCTTTGTCAGGAGCGGTTTTGGTCATTTGCAGTCCTTGCTCATGCTTTCCTTCCTGTTCCGCTTGTCTTTATAGATTTTTATCTGAAAGTTGAAAACGTTTTTGTTGATATCGGGGAGATTGCACCCGCTTTTGGAAAGAGGCGAGTAACACAACATGATGATAAAATAGCCATTTGAGATGACTTTGTTAATGCTGATAACATTAAAATGTTTCCTGGAATATTTGCAGTGCAAGGGAGAGGGGAGAGACCTCCGAGCGTTCAGGGGCCAGTTCATCTCTTCAGGCTGCCACCGCCTGAAAGTTAGGCATCTGCTCCAAACTGGCTGACCGGGCCCCCTCTATGGAGGGGCAAAATCCCTTCTGGAGATGCGTGTCTTAAATACATTGTTTGGGTCAGAACAGGGTGGGACAGGAAGGCTCGTCCCCTGGAAGCGACCGTCTCTTTCCTCTGAGTACAAAGGGAGCCTAAGCGACTTCATTTAACTTACTGCCCAAGATTTAGATAGTTACCATAGGGAAAATGAATCCCAGCCCTACTGATTTGGCAGTACAAACCTCAATGAAAGTTAGTGGGAGTTAAGGCTCTTGAACCTTCCAAGTGCTGTAGATAATGCCGCTATTAAGTTTGATGTTTCCTGTGAGAGACTTGGCTGTGCCTGGACTCAGAAACGTGATTTGTCAGCTAAGCCCGAGACCAAATTCTGCCAGTGGCCTGTTATAAAGGAAGGAGAACAGTGTGATCCATGACAACGTGAAGCGTTCAGAATCCAATTTTACATGGTGCAAGCCCTACAGCGATGTAGTCCATAAGTAACAGAAGGCATTATTGGGCAGTGATATGCCAAATCTACGTGATACATCAATCAGCTCCTTTGTTTTTGTGTGGTATTTGAGAGATTACTTTCATTTTAGAGAGTATTTGAAAATAGATCAGTTTCTTAGGGATGCAGAGGGAATGTTGGTGGGTACATGCGTTTTGCTCTGTCTTCTGGGTTCACAGGCACAGCTTTTTCTAAGTAGCTGTGGTGGTTTTGTAGGTTTCTGTGACCAGTTAAAAGCAGGATTATTGATGTAAAATGCGAGTGTCCAGATCACAGTGGAAAGGCGAGTGAAAAATGGCCTTTGGCACTTTGCTGAGCACATGTGTCCTCTGCCCTGTTTCTGGGCTGGCATCTTTACCTCCTAACTTGGAGGCCTCGTGCCTTGGAAGCTTAGGGGAGCCCTAGGACCCTTCTGGAGACTCTGAAGCCTATTAGAGGGGCTGGCTGTGGGGATGGTTTGGCCACCAAGGTGCCCCATAATTCATAACTGAATTACGTCCAACAAATGGACTTAATTTGGAGATTGCTCACTGCCCTTTAGTGGTGCTTCTTGGGTTGCTAGCGATTCCTTGACTTGTCTTATCCCCTGGGTGGTGAGACAGGGAAGCCTTTAGATTTGGTTTCTTGTGCCGAGCTGAAGTGCTGTGTGCAGGGGAACACCATGGCATCATCAGGTGAGTGGCAGCTGAGCACTCTGTGCTCCTGTTGCACGTGTTGTAGGTCAAGAGTGGGCTATTTTTTATATATATATATATATATGTATATATACACACACACACACACACTTTTCCTCCGAGTTACTTTTCTAGCCATTGATCTTCATCTGTGGGGCATGTAAATGCTGCAGTTTGTTAGAGTCCCTGCTAAGTACCTTCTTCAAAGTGACAGAGAGACAAGCCCTGCATCTCTACCAGTACTCTTCAGTGGTGAGACACTGAAGTGCGTTTGGGTAAATGTTGCATCTTCCTTTTCTCTCATGCTTCCCTCCCCCCTCTCTGTTTTGTTTGTTTCAGGTTCTCGGCCTTTTTGGATCTACACAGTGGAAGTTGCATCTTGTGTATGGCGTGGTTAAGCTTGCAGCCTGTCACCTCGGCCTTCCTCCATTTTGGGCTGGTTACTTTTGTGCTGTTTTTGCATGGTTTGCAGGTGGATGCTGGCCTGACGGGAGACTCAACCAGTTCAGTACAAAACAGCTCGTGTTCAGGATCTTTTGACTGCAAGGAAGGTGTTATCCTGCCAATATGGTACCCAGAAAACCCATCCCTTGGGGACAAAATTGCCCGTGTTATCGTATACTTTGTAGCACTGATCTACATGTTCCTTGGAGTCTCCATCATTGCAGATCGTTTCATGGCATCTATAGAGGTCATTACATCGCAAGAGAAAGAAATCACAATTAAGAAACCCAATGGAGAGACCACAACGACCACCATTCGGATTTGGAATGAAACTGTTTCCAACTTGACCCTCATGGCTCTGGGCTCCTCTGCTCCCGAGATCCTTCTGTCTCTGATAGAAGTGTGTGGGCATGGATTCATAGCTGGAGACCTGGGGCCGTCTACAATTGTTGGCAGCGCTGCTTTCAATATGTTTATCATCATTGCCATCTGTGTCTATGTGATCCCTGACGGGGAAACCAGAAAGATAAAACACCTGAGGGTTTTCTTTGTCACAGCTGCATGGAGCATCTTTGCTTACATCTGGTTGTACATGATCCTTGCTGTCTTCTCTCCAGGTGTGGTTCAGGTCTGGGAAGGTCTGCTCACACTTTTCTTCTTTCCACTCTGCGTCCTTCTGGCTTGGATAGCAGATAGACGTCTGCTTTTCTATAAGTATATGCACAAAAAGTACCGTACTGACAAGCACAGGGGCATTATCATAGAATCAGAAGGTGATCACCCTAAGGGAATTGAGATGGATGGCAAGATGATGAACTCCCACTTTCTGGATGGAAACTTAGTGGCTGTGGAGGGGAAGGAGGTAGATGAATCTCGCAAAGAGATGATCCGGATCCTTAAGGACCTGAAGCAAAAGCACCCAGAAAAGGACTTGGACCAGCTCGTAGAGATGGCTAACTACTATGCCTTGTCCCATCAGCAAAAGAGCAGAGCCTTTTATCGCATTCAAGCTACCAGAATGATGACGGGAGCTGGCAATATTCTGAAGAAGCATGCGGCTGAGCAAGCCAAGAAGAGCACCAGCTTGCATGAGGTGCGGCCAGATGAACCTGAGGAATTCATCTCCAAAATCTATTTTGACCCGTGCTCCTACCAGTGTCTTGAGAACTGTGGTGCTGTTCTCCTGACAGTGGTGCGGAAAGGAGGGGACGTGTCCAAGACCATCTACGTGGACTATAAAACAGAAGATGGCTCTGCCAATGCTGGTGCTGACTATGAGTTCACAGAGGGGACTGTTGTCTTGAAATCAGGGGAGACCCAGAAAGAGTTCTCAGTGGGAATTATTGATGATGACATCTTTGAGGAAGATGAGCATTTCTTTGTGCGGCTCAGTAACCTCCGTGTGGTGGAGAGTGAGGAACCCGCAGAGCTCAGTAACTCCCCATACCCAAAGGCCATATTGGCTTCTCCTTGTGTGGCCACAGTGACTATACTGGATGATGACCATGCTGGCATCTTCACATTTGAGTGTGATGTTATACATGTCAGTGAGAGCATTGGTGTGATGGAAGTCAAAGTCCTAAGGACATCAGGTGCTCGGGGTACAGTCATAGTGCCATTTAGGACAGTAGAAGGGACAGCGAAAGGAGGTGGAGAAGACTTTGAAGACACTTACGGGGAGCTGGAGTTCAAGAATGATGAAACTGTGTAAGTACCCCATTCATTTCTGTTCCTGGGTCTAGTTTTGGTGTTTAACCCCACATTTTTCATCCATTACAGGTGAATGCTGACAAGGGACAGGCTCCTTTCTTCAGCTTTCCTTCAGCCTCCCTACTTACCTCTTTCAGGCAAGAACCGACAGCAGGATTTAAGAGCTCAAAGCTCTTCTCCCTTCCCTCTTGGGAATGGCAAAGTGAGGCTTAGAAATACTGGGGGAGGGAAATAGGAGGAAAATATATCATGCTTTGAGGTCCTGTACTAAAGCTAAGGGTTAATGGAGAGTTATGGTAGAGAGAGAAGAAAAAGGGCGAGCTTTTACTTGGTTGGGCAAATACAGGAAAGCCTCTTTTGAACACCAAACATAGAGCACACAGGAGTTTATTGCAGTTTTTTATTGAAAAGTTTACAACAGTTATTCCCTGGCAAGCAAGAGCTGTTCAGTAGGTGTGGGGCTTTATTTTCACAGGAGCAGCACATCATACCTGTGTCCTTAGGCTGCCCGTGCCACTTGCAGGTGCCCGTGGCAGCTAATTAACAGCACGGGTATAGCTGCAAGCTGTTCTGCTGGACTTGTGACATCCTTCCAGCCTTTATGGCCTTATGGTCTACCCATATTCCCCACGTCACCTGCCCTATGATCTCCCTATGTCTGTTACTTTACTACCTGTGGTTTTTCCCCTTGTAAAATACCATGGCAATTGGCAATAACGGGCTAAAGCACCGCAGCTCACAGCCTGTCCATGTGGCTCCATGACCCAGTGTCTTCATACAGAATAAAGAAGGGAAGCAGAATAGTCTGCGCCAGTCCTGTTAATTCAGCTCTTTTATTGCGTACAAAGTAGCTGATACGAAGCTAGGAAGTAATAAAGACCAGAGAGGCGATAATGTCTAATTGCTCTAAGTACCTGCTGTTAACATTAGTGGGGAATGAGAAAAATCCCTTAGCTGAGTTAGGGAGAGGGAGGGGGGTGTGAACCTGGTGCTAAAACTCCCTGGTGTTAAGTGCCTAGGTTCCTCTTGTTAACACCTAATCACTTGAGCCATCAAAGGAAGAACTGTGCAGACTTGCAACTGGCATCAGAGAAAGGAAATTTTTGTACCAAGCCTCCCAATACAGTATCCAAAAGGATGTTAATATATTAAATGCTATGGAGTAGGTATGCCCTCATAGGTAGCACCTTCTGCCTTAGCGCACTAAACCATTTAATCCAGCTAATATCCACAGTCCCGACGCTTGATGATAAGTACATGTTCTTCCTATTGAAGGAAGAGAAGCTTCTGGTTGGCTGGGTTCACTCTCAGAGATGGAAGAGGATCAGCTGTCCTGTCCTCATCTGGCCTTTTCAGGGAGGTGGGCCATGCAGGTTAGTCTCCTTAATTGAGCCACAAGCTGATTCCTCTGGAGAAAGTGAAGAACATCAGCTGTGTGGTTACAGTCTCCTGTGAGCAGACTATCTAAAATATAATGGGTACTACCCTGCTTCGGCCAGATCTTGAAGAAAAGAGACTTCTCTTACTTAAAAAAAGACCCATCAGTGAAAGGCCAGCAGGTTTGGGGTACCAGAGAACAAGCCCATGAGCCATCTTGCTCCAAACTGTACTCCTTTTCTTTCATCTTCGGGCTGATGGAAGACTTCTTTGTCTTTGAAAAGCATGACAGAAGGTCAGAGGATGCCCACATAGTTGCTTCACTTGGGTTAAACCATATTAAATTCAGCAGGGCCATGTGCGACCTTGTGGGACAGAACCTAATGAAAATGAAAGCAGTCCAGAAAACAAGGATGCGTAGGTTGCTTAGTGCCATGTTTTGTGACCCAGAGAAGATGCCCTAGAGCACAGATGAGACATTTGTGGTGTACTTAAACCTGTGCCCACACCTAATGCATTAATGTGACTTCTACTTCTGCATCAGAAGACTGCTGGGAATAAAGCCTGCTAGCCACAGTGGCCATGGAGATCAGGTGGCTAGCAGAGATGAATTTCTTTTGAAGCTAGAATTAGTGTAGCTGGCTCAACATCACACTTAATCAGACTAATAAGCCTAACAAGGAGGGAGATCATGTCAGCCAGCAGGCTGCCTTTATTCACTCCTGGGTTTCACTTTAAATCTCCAGGTCTTCTGGGAAGGGAGTTTTGGGCTGGAAACATGTGAAGATAGTTTTCAGTAATCAGCCCTTGGCCTTTAAATTTGGTAAACACAGGTCAGTTGCTGTATTTTGCCGGCTCTTCTCTGAGGTGCAGGTGGAAGCAGCTGTAGAAACCTGGAAGCAGTAATAGGTAGGTTTAATCTCTCTTCTTCTTTCTTTCTAAATCTGAATGCAGAAAAATAATTTTGAGCAAATGTTTAGGCTGCAAACAAATTTGAGGTGATTCAGGTCTGAATTTGGATTTCAGACCCATAATGCTACTGTTCCAACAAATGCTATCTGGTTTTGGTCAGCCCAGTTTGAGAAGATGTGTGGATAGGGTGTTTGGGATAGTTTTATTGAGCCGGAGGGCAGCATATGAGCAACTGGTCATGGTGTCACTTGATACAAGGCTGTATGAAGATACTGGGTCACCAAATAGCCAGGGCATTGCCTGGCTAAATTATTTGAAGCCCTGCCTCTTAAATGCCTTGCCACTGAGGGGGATCCACCACAAGGTACTGGCATCCCTTGTGCACTGAAACAGAGACAGAGGGTCCACTAAAGCCTGGTGCAGAACAGAGGGGAAAGCAGGAAGACTAAGATGGTCCATAGGGAATGCTAAGGACAGGGGTTTAGAAAGCAGGGAGAAGTTACATGCCCCCACTTCAGCCTATGGATCAGGCCCTCGCTTAGGAAAGGTGGATCCTGGGCTCTAGTTTTCATGCTGGTGTAGGAGCTGCTCGTGGATGGAGTCCTGCCTACCACACTGCTTTAACCTTGTAGTTCTCCTTGTGGGGTTGCTTTGAAAAGACTTTTGACCCACGGAGGAAGGAAATGAATTAACAACATCTTGCAAACACACAAGACGGTGCTAAGCTTTGCAGGTATGATAAGGATCCCCAGAACTGCAGCCACACACAAGATCAGTGTAAGCTGGAGGAGAGTACAAGCTTCAGTTCACGCTCCCAGCTCCTTCTCTGACGCACAAATTAAAAAACTTCAGCTTGCATTCTGCAGCAGCAGGCAATCTGTAAGTAGTTTGTAGGTTGGTCTCCTTAAATGTAGCAATGGCTAGATTAATCTGAGGGGCACTGGGTTACACAGCATCCTTGAGATTAAACTATAGGGAAGGCATTGCTGTCTACCAAAATCCCCAGGGCCGAGGGTAAGCACTTTTCCTGAAAACTAAATTGTGAAGGGCTCTTCACTTAGTTTATTTTATCTTGTTATGTTTATCTCAGGGTTGTTTTTAAGAGGCTTTCCCTAAAATATGTGGGACTGAAAAAAGCTGAGTTGATGCAAACGTTACAGGATGAGAGGGAAATGGATCCTGCCAGCGGGTCTTGCTTACTGCCTCTGTGATTCTTTCTAGACTAACATGGTCAAAGTTTCCTTACTCACGTTTGGGTGGGAGCACAAGAGAAAGCAGGCTGAGATGAGGAGGCTTGAAACGATGCCGTTATTGCTGAAATATGGTCCTGTGCAGAGAGTGTGTGTATGGATGCGTATGGGTGTTGGACAGCTATAAATCAAGGTATATAATCTTGAACACTGTCATCTCTTGAGAAGGGAATTGATCAGGTCTCAAATATTTTTTTTTATGCTCCTCTTCTTCAATACACTTGTTATTTCTGAACTCCTGCTCTGGTGAGGGTCAGATACGACCTAAGCAGCTGAAGCAGAATCCTAGCTCTTTGGCTGAGTAAAAGGAGACTCTCAAAAAATCAAGTCCAAAACTTAGATTTTTATTTTTTTTTCTTTGCAAGATGACTGAACAGTTTTCTATTAACTGATTTTGTGTGGGGAAAAAAAGTTAGGTTCCTGGAGGTATGAAAATGTAGAAGAATGATTGACCCAGCTGCTTTATCATGTCCAAGCAATAAAGAAATCATTAAGAGCCAGCAGCAAAAAGTGGATTGGGTTTTAAAGGATTTTCTTTTTGCATAATAAAGGGAACTCCCAGCAAGTCATTAAATTTAATTTAAATTTCCTGGGTTTAAATTCATATGGAAATTTGTCTAGGTCTTGCTTTAGAAAGTTTAGGAAGATACACAAGTTACCAGGAGCTAACTAATATGCCAGCTAGAAAATAAGGTGACAAGTTCTACTGTGGCCACATCATTTGCAGCAGCTATGCTGAGTTAAGGTTTAGGTCGAGATCTACTTTGCTGCTTGCCTTCGTTGCTGGTTGCAAGGACCTGAAGGCTACCAGAGGTGTAGCCATCTGCCCTGAGCCCACAGTTTTAGGGGCATCGCCTGTGGCTCGGGAAGGAACCAGGCATTGAGAGATGCTGTTGGTGTTAAATGGCCTTCAAAGTTGGTGTGGCTGAACTTTGGTAACATGTGGAAACCTACAGTCGCTTATCTATGCGTATTAGGCAGAGCTCTCAATAACAAAAGGGCAGCCTTCTCCATTCATACAGAAGCTGCTGGAGACAAACATATTAAGCCTGCCTCGGTAAGCAGTGAGATTTGGGGTTTTGGGTTTGTTTTTTTTTTTTTTTTTTCCTTTAGGATTTGGGCAGGACCTTGTGTGCAAGTCACACACTGCCTCTCCTTGTCTGCTTCTCCCCAGAGAAGCTGTGTGTATGGCCATGGTTGCTCCACGGAGTCACCGTGAGCTTTGGGCTGTCTCCAGCTGTGTGCTGAGCTTGGTGGGGCTGGTCGTCCGAAGTGCTGCCGTGATGCTGAGCAGTGGAAAACCACGTGTGTTTATTCCTGTTGAGGGCTTCAGGCATTTTCTGGCAGGGGGCTCATGGAGTGTGCACGTATGTATGGATGTGAAGGCCAGAGCTAGTCCTGGCTGGGTTAAGCTCAGTTTGGTGCTATGCCCCAAGGCCAGTGGTTAACAACTGCCCT